TAAGGAACAGACCATCTGGTTCCTATAGATCTACAGAAAGGGGCTCTAATTACAGTAGCCACATGCTCTGTTCACATCAAATGACCTGCTTTGCCTTTTTTTTTTCCCTTTAATTTATTTTTGTTTAATTGCCTGGTCAAGCAGAAACTTGGATTCACCCTTAACTATATTACGTTGGACAGTTAATCCCTTTTTCCCTTCTCGCTCCTCCCTTTCCAAGTCGTCCAGGCTGGCATTGAGTTCCGTCTTTCTGCTACTGTCTGTAAAATAGCTGGGATTGCAGATGGTGCCATCATCCAGCATGACCATCTCTTCATGGATCTCACTGAGCAGAAATGCAGCCATTTGACATAGAAGAATGACTAACTTGGGATCTGGGGACCCCAAGCTTGGCAGTAGATCCCCTATCTTCTGTGTGTGAGGTCTTGGGTTCCATTGCAAAATTTTGAAATTATTGAGCATAATGGTACAACATGGATCAGCATCTCCACTCTTGTCATTTGCTAAGGAGACATGACAGCGTGTGTCCCCAAAAGTTATTCACCAATGCCCATAACAGCAGCATTCCTCAGAGATAAAAGCAGGAACAGCACAAGTGTCTGTCAGTAACCCAAGGGATGCACAAAGTCCTGCACCCCTGCCCCCTTGCAGCCCTGCATCCTTAGCAGCCCTGCACCCCTGCATCCTTGTACCTCTGCACTCCTGCAGCCCTGAAGCCCTGCATCCTTACACCCCTGTAGCCATGCATCCTTGCAGCCCTGCACTCCCGCATGAAACAGTGCTGCAAAGCAGATGAGGAGCCAGATACAGATTTAAGCCCCAACAACAACGAACTCAAAACCATGCCTGAGTAAAATCGTTACCACACAAAGGAGCCCCAACTGTGTGCTTCTACTCATACCCAGGAAGTGGCTGTCAGTGAGTGGGATTACAGGCATGAACCATCCTACCTGGCTAGGTTTCCCATGGAGGCGGCACTGATTTGCTTCCAGGCAGAGTCACTCTAGTAACCCTAACTGTCGTGAAACTTGCCAGGCAGACCAGGCTAGCTTTGAATTCATGGTCATTCTCTTGCAACATAAGGAAACTCACGGCCGGGCGGTGGTGGCGCATGCCTTTAATCCCAGCACTCGGGAGGCAGAGGCAGGCAGATCTCTGTGAGTTCGAGACCAGCCTGGTCTACAGAGCTAGTTCCAGGACAGGTTCCAAAGCCACAGAGAAACCCTGTCTCGAAAAACCAAAAAAGAAAAAAAAAAAAAAAAAGGAA